AGAGCTTAAGGCATAAACACTGAAAAACCAAACATGCCACTTGGATAATACAGCCTATACTGTTAATTTATAAGTTGGGCCCAAGATATTTGTATTTGAATAACCACTATATGTTGAGATTGACATTTTATTGCTCCTTTGAGGCACGTAAGCTTTATTGTTCATTCATTTATTTTCTCTACAAAGAGCTACTGGTTTCTTTGTATCTTTGCATCGTTGGGAAATAAACGAGGGAGTTAGTTTATTTAATTAGTGCATTTTCTTGTAAAAAACTCGCAGATTTGTAATCGATTGGTGGGTTTCTTTTCATCCAATAAAACCTTGTTGTTTTGTCAAGTCTTTAATGGCCTGGTCTGCTTGGAGTGGTCTACGTGGACAACCTGAACATACAATTTCCAATGAGTTATACTAATTTTTCGTATCATGCCTTCCTGTTTTCAAAGGTGAAGTAACGCAAAGACTTAACAATGCAAGGGAAGTGGCGAATCGACCTATTGTTCTCGAGCCATGAGGATCTTGGCAAAAAGCTCGTGTTTGTTAGTTCCTCGATTTAGGGAAGCTAAAATGATGGACTTTCCAAATGAAACTACAATTGTATCTAAATTAGACTTGCAATCATTTGTGTTCAATCAATTGATACCAGTTGTGACTCAAATACCAATATTAATTCTTGGCATGGAGAAGATAAGTCATGATGGAGTTGTGCATGAAAAATATATGTCGAATTTGAATTGTAAATTTAATTTTTTTTTGGCGGAAAAATGATTTGTAGGGGCGGTTGGCACTGTAGCCGCCCTTACAAATCGATTTGTAGGGGCGGCTGGTGTTCCCAGACCGCCCCTATAAATCGATTTGTAGGGGCGGCTGATAACACCAGCCGCCTCTACAAATCGATTTGTAGGGGCGGTCTGGGAACCGCCCCTACAAATACATGATTTGTAGAGACGGTATGGTAGGGGCGGCTGGCCGAACCGCCCCTACAAATGCACTGTAGCCGCCCCTGGAAATCATATTTGACGTAGTGGAGATGTCTAGCTTTTAGGCATCCGACGTCACAACTTGCTCCAAACTTTCTCAATTTTTTACCACGGCCTCCACATGCGATAACAAGACACCTCGACAAGTTTCGTGATTTTCGGACTTCGTTTGGATTTTATATAATTTAAATACACTTTTCCCGCAAGTACATCGTCATGTTACGACAACAAGATGCTCGTAATTTCATGCGAGTTCCTGGATACGGCCTCAACATACGCCAAACATCATGAGTACCATTTTTTGAATGACCAAATTCCATTATTTCATGTACATGCAGTTCAAATTTGAAATAGTCGGAAAAATTCAACGAAACAAAAATAATTAAGGAAATATAGTAAAAAAATTCAAAATTGTCCCAAATTTTGAAATGGAGTTTTAATTGCTGTAGCAAGGCCCCAGAAAAAAATGGGATGAAAAAAACAAAAAAATTAATTTGCCTAGTGCCAACCTTAGTTGACGAGTGCCAGGCCATAGGGCACTCGGCAAAGAATTTGTCTTTAAAAAAATAAAAAACCCTTTGCCGAGTGCCTAACGGCGGGGCACTCGGCAAAGATTTTTTTGCCGACGGCCAAAAGTTTGCCGAGTGTCCGGCTCTCGGCAAAGGCAGATTTACCGACGGCCTATCTTTGCCGAGTGCCGCTGGGTCTGGCTCTCGGCAAAGATTGCCTTTGCCGGGCACTCGGCAAAGCTTTTTGCACTCGACAAATCAGGCGTTTCCGGTAGTGGAAGGAGGGGAGGGAGAGGCGGGGACTGGTGAGCAGGTGAGGGATTTGGAGGGGCTGGACGCGTGAAGCGTCCATGCCATTTTTGGCTGCAGCGTGTGCCTCCCGGGCCACACTAGCACTAATTGGCCACACTAGTACTACTGCTGCCGTATTAGAGAGCTATACAGATCGTGGATGGGAAGAATATTCGTATCATCACGTACCATGCATGCATTGGGTATATTTTCGGGAGGGCCGGCGCGACAGTCTAGGGCAACGCATGCAAGTCACCATCGTCCTCCCGCCCCCCCCCAGCCAAGCTCTGGTGAGAACTCCGAATTAGGAGTGCTAGCTTTTTGTCTTCACTGCTTTACTAAGACCGCAGCTCGATCGGTCGGTGTTAAGCGCATATGCCCGCTGACCATCTGACCAGTCCATTCTGAAATCACACAATATATCAAACAATATTCAGTCCCAGTGCCTGTGTCCTTTGCGTCTCAGATGCTCTTGCGCTTTCTCCACAAGATCATAACAGAAAGGCTTCACAGGTAACCCATAGCAATCGCGATCGGTGCCAGCGAAAAGCATGCAGCTCTCGAGCCCGGCCATTGTCTCGGAAGCCTCCTAGTCCCCATGCATCCCTGCTCTTCCCTCCCGCCTCGATCGGGATTAACCCCAGATCGAGCTCGGCAGAGGAGCATCGGTACGGCGCGGCGGGTGATTAGCCCATTTAACCAGAAGCCATCCAGCACGTGCGCGCCGGGGCTAACCGCGCGCCGCCTGGGTCTGCGTCTGCGCTCCCTCGCACCGTGGCACGCGCGCGGCGAAGGAAACCTGGGTGCGCGAGTAGGTTGACCGCGTATAAAGCGTCTCGCGAGCGCTACTACCACCAGCCATATAGCTGGTAGTGGAGGAAGGGAGGGAGAAGGCGAAGCGAAGCCAAAGCAAGGTTGGAGCCGGAGAGGGAGGTGAGAGGGTGGGAAGGCTTGATCGACAACTCGCCGATCCACCGGAGCGACGGACTCCCTTTTGCGCGCGCGGCTTCGCGCCGGGCGGCCGACGGCGGAGGCGCAGAAGCTACTTCTGGCCCAGGAGACCATAGGCGGATCACGTGTGGGTTGGTCGCAAGGAGCCGTCGATGGTCTTCCATCCCATCTGTCCGGGGCCCACCCACCCACGGGCTGGCTTATTAGGGCGTGTTTGGCATAGCTTCACTTCGAAACTCCAGCAACTTCATCAAAAAATCCAGCCAAACACCCTAACTCCAAAACTTCATGGAGCAGCCAACTCCATAGAGCTATGGTACAAATGAAACTGAAGTTTTGGAGCACCTCTTTAGCTGCTCCAAAACAACCTCTTTTGAACCTCCTCGTGGAGTTGGTGGGTAATTACCCACCAATGCCACTGGTTACACAAAAAATAACGTTTCAATCTATTCTTCCCGAGCCCCCACCCACGCTTCCTTCCCTTAGCCCCGCCACCCGTCGCTGCCCAGCCCCGCCTCTCTCTCCTCCTCTCGCGCAGGACGACGGCGCCGCTGCAGCAGGTGGGTGCCCAGGAGAGCGCCGCGAGCTTGGGGCGGCATCGGCACCCATCGGTCCACCACGCGGCTTGCGACACCCGCCCCCACCCGGCTGGCGAGCGGCTGGAATGCTGCTGGTACAGCGCGCGACGCATGGCAATGGCGCGCGGTGAGCTGGTGACGCGCGCGAGTCCGCGTCCACCGCGTGGCGCGGTAGGTTGCAGCTTGCAGCACTCGGCCGGTAGGTGCTGCTCCCATGTGCGCCCGTGGGTGCCGCACTGCCGCGCGGTCCGGGGCCAAACCACCAAAGCTCCATCGGCCGCATCGGAGAGGTCCACCGGATGACGATTGGGTCGACGTCGCAGAGGTGCTCGTCACGCCGGCGGCCTGGGGTGGCCTCACTAACAGCGCGTTCCTCGGCGTGCGGTCCGCGCCCGCCGGCAGCCACAGCATCTTCCCCGTCGGGAAGCTCTGGTCTGCATGCGATGTGCGAATTCTTCAGATTTGTTCCTCTGTTCTTTCAGCGATACTTTTTTTTATTTGTTTTCCCATTCCTGGATAAGGTAATCAGTTCAATTTGTATGTGATGGTTCAGTAATCTGCTCGATTGATTCTGTGCACGCTCCTGCGCTGCCACCGCCGAATCCACGCTCGGCCGCCTCCCAGATACGCATAGTGTGAAAACTATCCAGTCCGAAAACTATCTAGGCGAAGAAGATGGGATAGGGAGGATGACAAGTGGGGCCTGAATCGAAGGGCAATAATAACAATCCACACTGAAATCGGTCTTTTTTGGAGCTGAGAGCACCTATCTAGCCAAACACCCCATTTTCGTTCTAGAGTGGAGCTGGCTCCACTTGGAGTTCTGGAGTGGAGCAGCTTTACTCGGAGTTGGAGCCATGCCAAACAGGGCCTTAATCATGCTTAGCCGGATGCACATTTTATTATAGGAACAATCGTGTGTTAATTTCCTTTCCTTCCTTTTTTTTTTTTTTGATCCTTCGTTCTTTTTACTGCTTGCGGGCTACCACTGAGAAGAAAAGCTACTGCCTAAATATATAGGTAATCTCCTCTTGAAGACGCACGACTTCCTGCAGCCGTTGGATCAGAAGCCGGGGCAGCAGGTGGTGCACGCGCTGCCCCTGCCCGGCGGCGTCGGCACCTTCAGCATCAGCCCCGCGCCCGTATCGGTGGCGCTGCCGGCGGTGGCCGTCGTCAAGTCAGAGCTGCCGTACGTTCGTGCTCTGGGGCCAGCCTGCCGCGACGCTGCACACTACAAGAAATACCCTTATACATAATGGTTTACCAGTGACCTTTTAAGAAATCATCATAGAATGTTGTCATCTGTGACGGTTCATCGTTGAGGTGATAGATCTACGACGATTGGTTAAGTTGTCGTTATGGTTGAACCTCATAGCTAGATTATTTAGGCAACTCTATGGTAAATCTATGACGGACTTGTGGGTAATAAAAAAACTATAAAGGAAAGCAAATTCCTAAACCTGCATCCACCGTTCACCCCCTTCCCCGTCGGCGTCGAATCCAGGCAGGAGGCCGAGCCCCAGCGACGGAGGGCCGCATCCCGGTAGGCTAGAGGCCGCACCCCCAGCGGGCGAGGGCCGAGCCCCGGTGGGCAGCAGGTCGCGACCCTCCAAAACCCGACGAGACTCGAGGCACGGGCAGGCGTTACCGCCGCGCGAGCAACAGGACGGCCTCGATGCGACGACACCCTAGTGATGCGGTCGCCGGATCTCGTGGATGAGGATGTGGGTCGTCGTCCGCTGGGGCTGCGTCGATCTATGAACGACGGCGGCATCAAGGTATGAGTAGTCTAGATCTCTCGGTTGCTACCTCACTTGCTTCATCTCCAAGCCGCTGGCCGCACGCTGTGCCATGGCCATGCCGTGCTGGCCGCGCTAGGTTGCTGCAATTTCCAGGGCATAGTACTAATGCGTGAATCAAATTTAGGTATATTGATTGGAGATCTGGGGTTAGGGTTGCCTCTTAGATCCGTGTTAGTGTTGGGACGCTGTCATATTTGTGGTCTTCTCCTTGAATTTTTAGCTATCGTAGTTTTGGGTATATTGATTTGGGATCTAGTTTTGCGTATACTTATAATTATTGTAGCCGTTAATTACATGGAGCTCACCTATTTCATAAATTCATTGTTTATTCAGATATGAATGTCTCACCCAAGTGCTTCTGGGAGGTGCTTGTTACTATCTTATCCAGCTATCGGCTCCATTATGTATCTGATCTCTAGCTTCAGATGAATTATTACTGCTGCTGCCTATGTGGCTATGTGCCAATTGCCAAGTACTAACATGCCTACAGGTTGTAGTCATTTATATGATCTATTTTTCTTACCAAAGTTTGGATTCTGCAAGAATTATAGCTATGATTCAACTCATCATATTGCATATATGGATGTTTTTCTCAAAGCTTTGGCCTATGTGGCTATGTGCCAACTCTCAAGTACTAACATGCCTACAGGTTGTAGTTCTTAAAAGTTAAAACTCTGTACTAAGCAAAATTCATCATCCAAGCTCGTTGACACTTAACAATTATAATCCATGTTGAAACTTGTCCTACTCATTTTTATCAGAATGATTGGAGTTATGCTTACGCCTACCATATGTTAAATATGTGCCTGACCATAACTTCCAACATTGTGTTTTTCCAGGGAATCTTGGAAAATCCTGAAGATATAGTTAGTTATTTGAACAAGAAGGGTGTCTCTGTGGTATTTATGTTCAGGAGGAACACACTGCGCAGGCTTATATCTGTGTTGGCCAACGACTATGACAAAGATGCAAAGCAGTTGAATGGAACTCACAAGTCTCGTGTTCACTCAAAAGAAGAGGTATCTTCGATGCACAAACAGTTTCAAACAGAGTTTTCTGACATAGCTTTGTTTTGTTAGTCCCAAATATCCTTTTGAATATATGCTGTCCACAACTCATTTTACATGAGTTGTGGTTTACATACTCCTATATCACTTATTTTATGGTAGCTTTGTGATTTTGATTAGACACTAGTGGGGATAAGAGAAACTACATCTAAGCTGATATTATACTACAACTTCCTATCTGATTAGTAATTTTAGACATGCTGAGATATTAGCAAAGTTCAAACCACATATGGATACATCGACTCTAATTACAAACATCAGAAACATTGATAAGGCCATCAGAGATTGCTTGGACCACTTTAAGAGCACACTGACCCAACCATCATTTTTATTAGTTAGCACATATTTTGACTAGTGCAATCCTAGAAGCTACGACCATCAGTTTTATTAGTTAACACAGATTTTGACGAGTGCAATCTAGAACAGTCTAATTTGATTGTTTTTGTCTTCCACTAGGATCCTAATAAATATATGGTATTTGTTTTTAGAATCTTTGCTCAAAATTGACTCATTTCATATTCATATTGATTTTCAAGAAGCTTCTTAAGTTTGTTTGGTAGCACATCATATGGCCAGCAAGCTAATTGAAGTACTCGTGGAATCATGGATACTACTGTTTGTTTATTTTAGACTCCCTAGAGATGAAATCTTAGTTCAGACATATTTGTTAGTTTGACTGTGAATTGATTGTACTCAAATTATATGTGACAACAGTGGACATGTCAATAAATGAAAGAATCAATGTTTATTTATATGATTGGTGTATTATAAGATGTGCTGCATATTAATGCAGTGATGATTTCGCATTAATCTGTGATGTTCTTTTTTGTCACTATGGTTCGATCCGAGCTGGTTATAATAGACGGACAACTAATCCATGATGAACTCAAATATCAATCTATGGCGGCTCAATTTGAGCCAACAAATGTATGACGCGGGATACGTGATGTTTTTTCCTATCGTCATGGTGAGTTAACTATGGCGCTACCATCCATGGCAGACTGCCATGGGGGTTACATATAGTGGTGATTTTTTAATTACTCTGGGTACTATAGTTTCTATGCGTATTAATTGTCCTGCCATATAGACATTTGTTGATGTGGTAAGAGATTTAATGGCTCCGTTCGCTTTGCTAAAGAGCTGAAATACTGTTATGGCTGATTTGTTGTGAGAGAAAAATACTATTTCAGTTAAAAAAAACTGAAAAATATAAAATATAAGACCAGCGAACAGGGCCAACGGAGAGAGAGAGAGGAGAGGAATCTTAGAAACCGTTTCTAAATAAGAAGCCGAATCTTCACGCGTTATGAAGCCCACCAAACCATCCCGCGACGCGTTGGGGAGGTGTCCCTCGTTTCCATCGGCACCTGCTGGATCCGGTGCGCTCGTACCTGGACGAGCCGCCGCCGGACCTGCGTGCCACCTGCTGGACGCCGCGATGCCTCGCCGGGCTTGCCAGATCCCGTGCTCCTGGCTTCTAGATTCCCTTCCCGTGCGGTGGCGAATGCTCGGTGGCTAGGTAGCATAAGCGAGTTTTTTTTTTAGAAATACCCTGTTAACTTAGTAATATTAGGAAACCTTCTTTTGAGCCTCAACCTACTTGACTACTTGTAGGTGGAATGGCGAGGAACTAGAACTGACAAAACAGCTAACTCTCTTTAACTCGGATTAGCAGTAATCACTACCACTAAATCAATATGTTTTGTATGAGGGAAATCCATGTAAAAAAACAAAGGGCGCCTTCTGAACCTTCATGCATGTGTTCACATATCAATCAATATCACTATTTGAAATGATGGTAGCGACATCGATCAGCATGCATCTAGTTAAACTAAGCGCTATCCTTGTTAATTAACGACTCATTATAAAACCCTCTGGAAATGAAGTTTATGTAAATGAGATAGTGACTCATCTTTTTCTGTTTTGTTAATTTTAAATAAACATATGCTGAATTAAACTTTCATTGAATGCCTCATGATTTTCCTGGAAATAAATTAGTAGCTAGTAGGGTACCAGATGAGCATCGTTTTAGTTTTATCCTCTTATAAGAAAAAGGTTGTCATGTTTTGCTTCACTACTCTTCACTAATCGTCATGGTACAAAGATGTTAAAGAATTGTTTTTTTTTCCTATATGCTTAGTAAAAAAAAGCGTAGTTTACTAAACTAATCAAAAATAGATTTGCCACCACGTTGGAAAAATGACTATAAGAACTAACTATATAAGAGTTCCCACTCTATTCTGTTTGGTAGGACAAACGATAACTTGTTTTGATAAACTTATTTCCTTTAACACTATTACATGTTCCAAATGAAATTAAATATATTGTATTTCTTTGTCAAATAATTAAATATGCTCAAGTAAAAAAAAATCAACTCTTAACCAATTCTTTTTTTGTCATGTGAGCAACGATTGTACTGTGCATAGAGAAGACATCTGAAACTAGGGTAGAACCAAATAATCCTATCATGTTTGTTTTTGTAAAGAAAAAGTTCTTGTAACCATAGTCCTAGTGTTTAGCCTTTGAACTGAATCCAAATTCATGAACTTCAACTTTAAAATGGTTCATTTCTTGCATCTATATGGTTAATTGTGTCTCAATATATGTTACCAAAAAATTTTCTTCTAGAAATTAATAATAAATGTTTTGGAACACTGTTGTCTACATTTAATTTAGCAACCCTTATAATACCAATTAAGGTTTATAGTGTAATCTTTTGAAGACAAAAAAAAAATGAAGCTAGAAATGTGCGTTGGTGAACACAAGCTGAGGACATGACCTTGTAGCAATCTGACATACTTGGCCTACTTAACTTAGACCCCCAAGATACTAAATAGTTGTGGCACTAATTGTTCAGTGGTATCATCTAAGGTGGTGATACAGAATGATACTTGAGTGGGATTTATTATAATACAATAGCTAGGTGGTGAGTGACGTACTCACATTTATGTGCGGACTGCTAACTTTACTAGAGAATGGATTCTCCTATGAGAAAACACACACTCCTGGGATGACTTCTTTTCTTTCTTCCGAAGTCAGTCTCGCAACGAGCGCGACCCTCGTGTTTAGTTGACACTATGAGTTTGAAACCCTGAACAGACCACCGGTGTAAGCCGGAGGAAGGAGAGGATGAGGCCAAGTCATCATGCCCCTTATGCCCTGGGCGACACACGTGCTACAATGGGCGGGACAAAGGGTCGCGATCTCGCGAGGGTGAGCTAACTCCAAAAACCCGTCCTCAGTTCGGATTGCAGGCTGCAACTCGCCTGCATGAAGCAGGAATCGCTAGTAATCGCCGGTCAGCCATACGGCGGTGAATCCGTTCCCGGGCCTTGTACACACCGCCCGTCACACTATAGGAGCTGGCCAGGTTTGAAGTCATTACCCTTAACCGTAAGTAGGGGAATGCTTACGTCACACTATAAGAGCTGGCCAGGTTTGAAGTCATTACCCTTAACCGTAAGGAGGGGAATGCTTAAGGCTAGGCTTGCGACTGGAGTGAAGTTGTAACAAGGTAACCGTACTGGAAGGTGCGGCTGGATCAGCTACGTCTGAGCTAAACTTGATATGGAAGTCTTCTTTCGTATTGCTTTTTTTCAAGGTAATAATTAAAGAAAGACATGCATGACTCCGGAACTGGCCCTCTTCACTAGCTTCTTTAGAGCTTGGGGAGACAGAAATACTTGTCTTGAGCGACTGTAAGTAGGTGACATCAACGAAGCTGCACAGTTATCCATATGATGCACTCCCTTGATTCAAGAATATATGCTACCCTGGAGCTTTGGCATACTCCCAGGACATCATTTGATCATTACTTTGAAACAAAAGGTGTTGCCACAACAAAATAGTAGTAAAACAACATTTGGAAAGATGCATGCATCATTCTAAAGTATACTATTATTTCCATGCACATTAGTGGTTTTGAGTTTGAAATCATTCATTCCATGGTGGCATATGTTGTGAACAGAGGGAGTGCCCATCACTAATTATGTTTGTTTCACAAGACCAATAAAAGGACAATATGTGTGTATCTCAAACTTTTATCCATACTGACATGCTACGAAACATATATCTGGTACATATCAGTGGAATTTTGGGTCTTCAGAACTGAAGCATCAATACCTTAGCCTTGTAAAAACAATATCATTTATATTTATATTAAGAAGAAACATATACAAGTATGAAGTATCTATAGAGCACACTCTCAAGTTTGGATACAATATGCACATTTGAGTGTGCCCTCGTGCACCATGAGGTTTATGCTTGAAAGATAATCCCACCTTATACTACATCTAAAATTATAATCAAGCTTGGAAAAAAGGGAAATCACAAATACATGCTTGCTATACAAAAGATCAAATATCAGTATGTATATCTTTCAGGATCTTAACAGTAGGAAATAGAGGTCTCTTTTGAGTTATCAGATATCCACTAGCATGCACTCTGAAATTTTGCTTACTCTACCCCTGAACTATTCACATTTCACCTTCTCGCTCGGTATAGAGATCTGAATACGGAGTTCTATCACAACGCCATACAAAAGGATGATGACCTTGCTTATCTTTTCTGCTTCTGGCACCTCTTTTCAACCTACAGGTAGTGAATATGTTAGATAACCTTCAGTAATTGGTAACCACATATGTTCTTTTCACAACTTTAGTGATTAAGCTATCATGGCACAACAGTGTTGTCAGATATAATTATCAGCTAGCCCTTCTCAGTACAATACATGCACTTATCCTGTTGAAACTTTTTCTAGCTTAGATCAAAACTTTTCTAAGGGTGATAGGGCAGAATACCCTATCACTATATTTCTCCAATCTGTACCAAAAAAAAAAAGAAATTCTAGCAAGAGGACCATCCTACTCTTAGTACAATCTGTTCAATTTTATGATTAAACCTTTTCTAAGGGTGATAGGACCACACCACAGGCAACCACAAATTTCAGATTTCGAGGACGAAATGTTTTCTAAGGGTGATAGGATGTAACACCCCAAACTTTTGACAAATCT